GCCGGAAGCGCGTCTCGACGGCAGCGTCTTCTCGCAATCGCATTAGGATTAGCTGCGATGCACTTAAGGTCGACGATAACCCAGATTCTCATCTCGTACGGCTGAACGGGGTCGGCCTGTCGTGACGACATCATCGTCTCAATTTTTATTACGCTCCATTCAATTCACGCCACGCCAACATCGCAGATTTCATTCACGGAAAACGATCGCCGGTATGATTTTTGTCGGGACGCATTAGTCACGCCAGGATGTACATAAATGTCTAATCGCTTCCACAATTCGAATTGTCGAATTGATCCCGAGTAGAGGATTCCCAGTGAATTATTTGCACTGTAAAACTTAACTCTTTATGAAATTGCACGATCGTAATTTAGTATCGTATTTCATATTAAAGTAAAATAAAATTTTTCTGACATTTGGTGATATTTAAAAAATTAAAAATAATCTTTGACGCTACAACTTTCTTATTACACTTATGTACAAGTATATCGATTTATTTAAATTTCTGTTTTATTTATTTCTGTTATACTTATCAAATTATTGTACAAATAAATATAAAATATTACATATATATAAGTAATAATTTCGAATTTTGTCACGTGCAACTGACAATGAGATAGCGTAATTAAATAAATGTACGTCAGATATAATTAAAATGCGCGTGATGATTACGAAATCGAAGGTAGGAGAACTTCCTGGTCACGTTAATAACTGCAGGTTCAATCGCGATGTCTATTCTCTCAATTCCCACTGTAATATGAGAATAATTGACTTGGTTCGTAGAAGAAAATGTTTGCGTGCATTCGAATGACACCGGCGACATCTTTTTAGTAAACATGTAAAGAAAATGCATATGATACGCTTGTAAAAGCGTATCTGAGAAATTATATTCTATTAAATTATTCTATATAAAATATTCTAAAAAAGTTTTGAAAGAAATTATGATACTGCAAATGAAAAGAATGGAATTCAATCTTTGTTTTTCTGATACATAAGTTTGTTTTTTGATACACAGAGTGAGTCACTTAAGACCAGCCACCCAAATAACTCCCACAGATTTGAACATGATCTTCATTTTTTTAAACGAAACCATGCATTTTCGAACTCTCACGATTACTATAGTTTTCTCGAATTTGCTTACTTTTTCCCTATATATATTCATAAATTTTTGGAGTACAATTTTTGATTACACTTTGACGAAATTTTTAATATCTTCAGTGTTCGTAGCGAATGATATTTCGCGATAAAGGCCACGATTTTTCCATTTTGGTATTGTAATCTTCAAGAGTTTGCCTACCCACACCGTGTTTCTCTTGGAACATCGACGATTTGGTCGTCGAAGGCAATGCTCGATCTTAGACCGCTGTTCCAACCGAGTGGACACCGGCCGGTGTACATCCAACACCGTGCGACCGTGCACGTTGGTGACCGCAGGAAAAAACTCGACACCTTTTACCTTAAACTTGAAACAGTGCGCTGCGCGCGTGCAAAATAACATGTCCATGTCGTATTATTTCGTCGACGGGTATCAAGTACCCCCGCTGCTCCTTTCAATCTCTCACCGCGGTACAACTATATTTCGGAGGTGCTCGCTCGGTCCTTATGCAGCCTTCATTACAACATGTCTTGTGTTGCAATCTTTTATTTCTTCAAAAATCTGTATTCTTTATTCAGCTTTGTTTTGCAAATAGAACAAGAAAGAGAATAATTAAAAGAAGTAGTCACATCTGTCAGTTTTATTACTGTTGTCCATTGGCGTCAAAAGGACGTGTTAAAAATTAACAATGGTGAAAGAAGGAAAAGCAGCATGAATACAATTAAATGACAAATATGCGTGCACAATTATTGGGAATGGGAAGAGGGAAGGTATTTCCCGGGCTCAGGAATGTTCACGATGGAATCCTAGCGCCGTTTAACCGAATGGCGAACATGCGTTTCCGTATATGGTAGAACTTTCCGTGTTCGACACCCGCTATTATTTCCGTCTTCAAGATTATGTCGAGTCGGCGGGAAGACGCAACAGTTGGCCGGCGTCGTCGAGCGTGACGGAGACGTTGGACACGACGGAAGGACGTGCGGAAGGACGGGCACCTATATATGCATTAGTCGATTACTTTAGATCAGATAAAGCCGTTCTTCTAACAGGTGATTTCCCTGTCTCCCCCATTTTCTCTAAGACGAACTCGTCGTTGGAACTCGCAGTGAGAACGGAAGCACTCGCGAAAAAAGATAAATCGAGTTAACGAGGGGTCGCCCCGTTGGAATTAATTGAAGAAGACGAAGGGAACTAATCACGAAGAAGCCGAATCATTCTGTCAAATTGCTTTTGCGATCGAAGAGAGACACGTTTTCTAGGAATTGTTTGCCAAGAGAAACGACTGCCCTATTAACTGCTTCCTGCACAGCTTCCTTCTCGATAAAAAAAAAAAATAATTTGACATGCAGAAGAGTTTCCTGGATCAGAAATAAAAGAGAAATTTTAGAAAAGACACGATAATTTGTACGTCGTCTTCCGTGTATTACGCAGCGACGCGAATCAAAAATGCAAATTGTAGTCGAAATTAAAGGAACAAGAAAATTTGCTCCCTCAAATACTCTATATTTTACTTTCTATATTATCTCTGTTTTCCTCGAAAAAATTCGAAGTAATTTGTGACGAAATAAACAAGAATCAACATTAGGCTTCGATAGGATTACGTTTTAAATCGGCGTGAACTTGGCGTAACGTTACTGAGATATCGGCACGAAATCGACGTTGCGAAAAATACACATTCGGCGAGGAGATACCTAAGAATAAATACGTTGAAGTGCAACACACGTCCGAGAGGTCTCTCGATGACGCGCGAAGCGGATTGATTAATCGAGCGCAAAGTTAAACGACGCTCCGCCACGCCGCCGCGCCGCGCCGGGAAGATATTGCTACGAGACGAAAGCCGCGAGTGGAATAAATAAAAAAAAAAAGAAAAACCGTCGTAAAATTGATACATTCACGAAAGAGAGAGAAAGAGACGAGATAGTACGCAAAAACATTATCTCCGTCTCCCGGTTAACCCTTATCGGTGAACTCGCCGTTGCTCGCGAGCGATTTGTATGTACGCGCGAGAAAAACACGCGACGAGCGTATCCGCGTCGCTCACGAAACTCTCGATTATTATTGTCGCTTCCGCGGAAATTTCAGTTGGCGGTAATTTGCCGTGCGCAATTCCGTAATTATCCAATTACGGAAATTCGAAGTTAAATGTACCGCCGTAAAACACGCACGGCTGTTCGCGGGGAGATGCACGTTCGTATACGGCCGCTTCTGCGAAGAACAGAGAAGACACCTAATTTTAACGTGAAGAACTATAATGTTTAATTTGCGATACGTTCCGTTTATGTAACGGTATACTCGACTTGACCGACTAATCATATAAATGAGTGTTTACGGCTGTTGGCCGTGTATAAATTACTGCGCGCGAGTTTAACATGCGACGGCGCTACTTTAGAATTTAATACTTGAACGAAAATTTGATAGGAAAGCAATTTTTCATATCTTCGTCGATACGTTTACAGATATTTTAAAAATATAATATAATGAGACCAAATCACAGTAACTTTTATTTCGCTAGTGAATAATTAACTGCAGTAAAGATTTTTTTTATATTCGACCTAACTGGCTATCTTTATTAATTATACCTAATCAACTAATCATCACGATAATGTGACCATTGGTTTTGGTCAATTACAATCACCAAACACGTACAATATAGGCAAATGAGAGCCAAAACGCCGGTATCAAGACGACAAATCTAAATGTATTTAAACATTCATATAAAAAAACAAACATTTCGGTCCTTCGCTTTGGACCATCTTCAGTGAAGAAAACATATTTATTATTCAATTACAATTGTCACGACATTTTGACCATGAGTTTTGGTACTTCTCAATCGATGTAACTTTGATGCCAAAACATATATAAGCATCCTATTTAAAATTACTGCAAAGAATTTATTGCGAAACAATCGTTATAATTAATAAAGATAGCCAGTTAAGTCAAATATAAAAAAAATCTTTACTAATAATATATAATGAGAACATACGACCTCGCGTGAATTTTAAAAATCCCTCAACTGGTTACCGTTCTCACCAGCAACACGAATTTGCATTCCGCAGGTGGGGCCTATTTCGTAGTCAAATGCGTTATGATAATTAGATGACGGTCAAACAAATCGACGTCCAAAATTCCCATGGCGGTAACCAGCGACTACGGTTCGCTTCGCACCCCTCTCTACTTGCGCTCGGCTCTCCCTCCGCCGCCGCCGATCTCTCGGCGCGCTCGACCGGCCTTTTCCAATTACTCTCGGTTCCATCGAGAGGCCGGACGTGCACCTGTGCCCCGGAAATGCGTAACGTACTTACAGGTGCAGCCGCTGTAACGAGCGCGCGCGTTATCTGCTGATGGAGGGCGCGAGGAGGAGGGCCGGGCACCTTGGTTGACGATTATATTCGGCGATTCATTCCGGCGCGCCGCGTCAAATACACACGCGCACCGGGGGTGTCAATTGAACCGGATGGAACAGTTTAACGTCTTTTAAAGACGGCAAGCGATTCAATTTATTTTCCGCCGCCCCTGCGCGTAACATAATCGCGCTCCGCTCGCGTCGTTGCGTTCGATGTCTCTCTTTTTTTTTTGCGTCGCTTGACGGCGGCCCCTCCGTGTTCGACGATCGCGTATCGCAGATACGGTATAGACATGTCAATATGATTCCATGTATCTTGAAAATGAACGATCTAACGTGTTGAAATGATATGTATTTCATTCTATCATTAAGGCCCAGTTTCACAAGTGTCGGTTAACTTTTAATCTTAGAACTCACTCTTTGTCTCCTTCTAACGTCCCCTTTAGAAAGAGACGAAGAATGAGTTAATCTAAGATTAAAAGTTAACCGACACTTGTGAAACTGGGCCTAAGTTTCGCAAGACACTATACGGTTAAAACGAGATATCTCTTTTGATTCCAGAATCGAACGGACGACCTGAGCTCGGAGGTAGGATGCGGCGTGAGATGCAAGATCGATCAGGTAAGAAGTTCCGCGCGTATCCAAATTATTCGCATCGAATGTCTGGGGGTGTGCAAATGATTCACGTTGGAATTCCGTGCGAAGTTTCCCATTCGCACGTTCCTTGCTACCATACGGGGTATTCACGGGGCTTTTGAACATGTATTCCCTATACAATTCATATAAAGGGAATAATTGATAAATCGGACGAAGGATATCGGGGAACAGATATGCTTCTTTCTCCTGGGCTTCTGTAAAAGGGTTGTTTGTCTTGTCCGGGGATAAAATCGCATGCGATACTACATAACAAAGTTTGGGATAATAATCGTCCTGGCGGGATGGTGCGATATACGCAAATGACCGGTGCGGACGTCGGAGACGAAAAACGAAGGGACGGCGGTCCCTCGTTACAATGAAAGTACTTCCGCTGGTGTCCCAGGGGGCCCCCGCAGCTCCTAACTCGCGACGCCGGCGGAGATGGTGAACGGCAAATAAAAAAAAACTACGCGCGCCCGTCGATGAATGGGACCAACGTGCGTACGTACGAAGCGCATTGCGCGCGTACGAATGAAAGAATGGCCCGGTCACTCTCTCTTTCTCTCACTTGCTCTCTGGTACGGCTTCGTGTGCTTTTAAATTGGATCGCGTACAAGTGCGACCGATGGCGGATGTCGCCAAATTACCGTGCGACTCCGGATTCACTCTCTCGCGCTTCGTCCGTCTCGCTGTCGCGCACTCTCTCTCCGTTTTCTCTCTCTCAGTTCCTTTCCGCCCGAAACGGAAGTGCGAACGAGAAAAACGGGGAAATTGAGAGAGTGACTGGAGTCGCGCCTGTGCCGTATTTCCGAGTTCCATACGACGAGATAAATAAGTACGGCTGATCCTTTGTCAGTGTTTACTTTTGTAGAAAGAGACGAGAGACCAATTAGACTGCATTTAAAATTAATTGATAATGAGGAAGACGGATCTAAATTCGTCGTAGTAATAAACCAAACATTTTTTGGAGGTAATTGTTTTGTTAGAGAAAAAACCTGAAATTTTTCTCCATATAAAATTATAAAAAATTGTAAATTTATAGAGAAAAAGATGTTTCCACAAAGTTATATTTTATAGCAAAAATTATAAGAACCGAATAGATAGTAAAATGTCTTACTATCCGTAGGTTAGACTTAATACAATTAAAGGAAATGTTTTTTATTTTCTTTCCATCTTATCATTAACTTAGTATTTCAAAAGGGTCAAAAACATACATTCCAGCGAGAGTGAAACACCAAAAGGACTCTCAGGGGACCGGAAGGATATCCAGTAACGCGTGTCTCCAGGACAGGGAACGAGCGGGATAATTAACTCCATAAAGAGAGGACAGAAAGGATTCTGGCGTGCCTAATTGTCGTGTCTCCCAAAAAAAAAACACGGTCATCAATGAGCGGTATTCGTGGCCGCTCGGGATATATCGCGCGCGGCTCGACGTTTGTTGCACGCGTTGCGAAGCGGGACCTGGAAAACGAATTACCGCGCGAATTGCGCTTAAAACGATTTCCTCCCTCGGCTCGTTTCACGGTTCGTAAGTCGCCAGTAACGCGTACGAGTAACGGATTGAGGCGACGTAGGTGTAGGAAGACGCTTCGCGCGATCCTAGCTAGACATTTACGCGCTTCGGCGCGACCCACTTTAGTCTTCGGCTATCGCGTTCTTTGGATTGAGAAAATTATTTTGTACGAAACTTTCGATTCTATATGACCTTTTATCTTTTAACTTGCGCCTGAATTGCACCATTTACTTTCGGTTTCTTTTAATTATTATATAGAACGTAATGAAAATGTTTTGTTTTGTCTTTTATATATGCACCAAGAAAGAAGTGAAAAATATATATTACTAATTTATTTTTAGAAATCCATCTATACGTAGGTAATTTATCTAATTAATCGATATAGCGTATACTGCGTGTTTGTCATCGCGTTCGACGTTCATTTCACCAACATTAGCGGATTGACTTTACGTCTCTTCCGGTAATTTCACAGGTCGATAACGACGAATTAATACCACTGGAATTTCTTTTGTTCGACGCCCTCTCATTTTTTCGGTTCGCTCTCGGATATTAATGTAACCTTGTGTCCCCTGCGCTCGCCTCCGGAAATATTCGTCGATGACTACTTCCGATCTCCCTACGGAGAGTTTATAATTAATAAATTGCAATCTTTATTCGAAATAAAATTTATAAAACGTGCTTCTTGCGGTAAATAATAAAAACAAAACGTATCAAACTAAATTAAAATATTTATATGTTATGTTAAAATCAAATTCGAGAAATAAAAGATTAAAAATCTAAAATGTTTTTCTTACGATACGTTTCACGTGGTTTCCTACTTTAGGTATGTATCGAGAAATACATAAACCATACGAACAAACTAAACACTTGCTTCCGTGTATCGTGCGCCAAAAAACCAGATGGTCGAGTGTGTTTGTCTGACAACGTAGTAAAGTGGAGGACCACCGACACACACAGCGGGGTATCCATACAAATGTCTCTGCTTGACAGTGACTACTGCCAGAAGCCACTTTGACTTGAAAATTGCTGCCTTGAATCTGAACGTAAAGATTGCCAGATACTAACTACACGAGATCCCAATTACTACTATGAAGTAATAAATGGAAAAAAGTTTTACTATACTATTTAGCGCGATATCTGTCATTATCATAATTATTTAAATCGGAATTCATTTAACCATATCATTATTTAAAAAATTATTAAGATCACCGTTGGGATATCCAAAAAATTGCACAGCGTTTTAAATAAAGTATGAACAAAAATATATAATAATTTTTAATACTACAACGTTTTTAATACACTTTACTACATATTTTAATATATATTATGATATATAAAACATGGCAGATACAGTGAAAAATGATCAGAGATAATCGATGAGAGACAAGAGGATCTTTTAACAGAATTTACTGGAAGATCTGACACCGGTAATCGGTTGCATGTAAATTAGCAGCTCGTTATAAATACATTAAAGAATTAAGACGATCCGAGGCGCTGTATTCGGTTACCTTTTTTCCTCTCCGCTCGATAATGGTTGCAGAGCCAGACTGAAAGTCTGTAAATGGGGTTAAAGCAAAACGAGGAGAAGACAGATAGATGCACGTCCGTGGTAGGACGAAGATCTACGATCTACGGGGAGCCGCGCGTGTGTGTGTGGAGGGAGGGCCCAGCTGGGGGCATAATACCCGGTGAGGATTTAATGAGGAAGTGAGAAATTAGCGGCCGCTGCGCGCCGAGCCGCTCGGCTCAGCCATTTTCTACTGTCTGATAGTTTTGTCAACCCTCATTGTGGATAGCTAGATCGTTTAAAAACCTATATTTGATGAGGCACGTCGAATTAAAGCGCCCAGATGCTCGTCGTAGCGAATTAAACCTCGGGATCCGTATATCCTCTACTTCACAGAAGACTTGATTACTCACATATTCTTTTTAAGGAACAAAAAGATAAATTGATAATAATCTGCTAAAAATAAGCTGTAAATTAATCAGAATCATCGAAAAGGGCAAAGAGTTGTACAACGATGTCGCGGCGGTCATAAATTAGATAAAACATTAATCAACAGTTTTTTCAGCGTGGCGGAGTACTCGTACGATAAGAAAACGTACGTAAAATAAGTGTCTTACGCTTTGGCGTGACTTCTGGAATTGCAAGGCAAATTTTGATACCATACATATTCGAACATTTGTATTTAATTCAAACATGCAAATAAGTGTTTGCATATTTGAATATTGCATTTTATATATATATATATATATATATATATATATATATAATATTTGTATACCTATGTATATAATATATAGTTGAAATTTAAGTAAATAAAATATTATAGCTTTTTAAACAGTCTCTGAACTTTAAATGTAGCAACAACAGGATTTACGAGTACTTTTTATCAGTTTAAAATGTATTAAACTCACTAGGTACCGTTGACATAATTCTGCGATTAACGTAAATAATTTTAATTATGACAGCAAATTAACGAGTACGATTTGAGATGTGACACTCGCGCTTCGATGATTTACCAGAAATGTCGTAGAGTTTCAGCGTCACAAATGATTATTAATAACGTTTATCTGGTGTTGGAGGTTCCTTTCCATCGACGGACTTTTCATACTAGCTGACCTATGTGATACCCTCGAACACCATCGTACGCGCACGCCTTGTTATGAGCGCATAATGCGACGAACGTCTCGAAAGTTCGTCCACAGTTCACGTTAAAGACTTATATATCTTTTTGAAATACGAATACAAAGTAAGCGCTTGAAACCTAACGTACATGTTGAGAAATGAAACATCAAGCGACTGTTAATAAAGATTAAACATAAGTTTATTATTAAGAGAGCAGACTCCGAAGTAGTCTGAACATGTCTTCGTTTTTAATCATTCTTTATCTTGGATTTTTTACGTTTAGTAATTAAACACAATCTTTTATGTAGAAAATATGTGGATGTTTTAATATACTTTTAAATAATTATTAATTATTATATTTAATAATTATCTAATTAGATAATTAGATACTTATAATTTTGTCGAGAAAGAATTCGTAAACATCTCGCTCGTGTGTGTTTTGACAGTAAATATATATGATGTAAGACCAGCGACGAGAAATATCGGTTGAAAAATATCCATGTCATTATCTCAGACTGATTTTTTAATTTTATTTTTTAGGTAGTCATTGCATTTTTCTCAAAAACAAAACTGATTTAAAATTGAATAAAATATTTAACAAAAATTAATTTGTAATCAAATTTTAATTAATTTCAATTGTGGGATTAAATTAATAATAATACGTCACAGTTTGTTCAAGGAAATTAGGTTTCTCGTACGATACAATTTGCTTATTATTTCGTAATGCCGAGTGCAGTATTATTTATATGCGGCGCCTCTCGAACTGAGCGGAGTGCCGATCAGTCTGCCAATTGCTAAATAGCACCTCTTGTATCCGGACGTTAAAATAGATCTTCCACTACATGTTACGAAATTACACCTATATTTATTACTAAAACCGATAAAATTGCGACGATGAAATGAAAGGAAAACGTAAAGATCAAGAAAAAGATTTTGTTCTTTTATAAAAAGTGTTGTTTCGATTGAAATCTTTACGATAGAAGCTACGAAATTAAATCATAATCTTTTAGTTGCACAAGTTCACAAAAAAGTGACAGCGATGATCGAAATGTTCCAAATGTTTACAGATTTATCGAGGTCTGCAGTCGAGGCACTCGAGACAAGTCGCTCCTGTATATTTATACTTCCAATTACATTCAAATGGATTTTCTACTCTGTTTTCTTTAAAAACTCAATGACACTTACATATCTCTGTTCCGTATATTGAGAAAGAAATTCCTTATGTTCAAAAGAACAACTTTAAAGCAAAGTTAGAGCATTGAGTTCAGTGCCTTCAATCCGCCTTTGATCACTCACTTTTCGTAATTAATATTTATTCGTTTACCCTTGTATGCACAGTAATATTCAATAATACTAAATTTAGGTGAAGAAATTAAATTAATACAAAAATCAATATAACAATATGTGTCACTCAACATATATCAACTTAATCATTATGAAGTAACTTACAGAAAAGTTTTTGCATTTAGATATTTTTACATCTGATATAAATGAGTCTTCTGTTGGGGTTTATTTTCGAGAGATTACCGTGGCCGAAAGAGCCGCGTCGGGAAACCGCAAGATAAACAACTGTGTATTGGCGCGATGGAAGCTGAGCCGTACGCGTCCTCGGCTACAGCTGCCTTATTGTTGTCGACGACAAATGCCCACATCCTCTCGTGCAGAAAGTTAATGCGTTAAACTTCAGTTCGCAAATCCATGCCCGACATGGTACCACGCAACGAGCGTCTTATGAACGTGGGCGTTACTTGAGACACGTGCCACGCAGGCCGAGATCGGACGCGACTACGAAAAATTACGGTTTCGCCGCGTAGCGGCACGACGAGTTATGTCACTTCGCTCCGGATAATGTGACCCATTGTTCGGCCACTTCCGGAGCTGCATTTTAACAAATTGTTAGAACGTTTGACGGCCTTCGGCGGAAGGATGCACGCCGGACAGGTCGATTTTCCACAAATCCAATGTGGAGCGTTCATGCCCAGAATTATGAAATGTCCAGACGAAACAGCAATTGTGCTCAGACGAAATAACCGCGAATAGATAATAGATAAAGTTTGTCGTACAAGCTAAAAATACTTATCTCACTTATATTTTAGGATATTTTATCTGTGAATATTATCTAGCATATGACTAACAAAGTCTAAATTTACACGAGAATAACGCTGTTCGAAAAAATTTAAAATAGATTCTAAGCAAGAAGAAACCAATGAAAAGAATATGATGTAATGTGTTTATTTCGCGTTTTATAGGAAAGAAGATCAAATATGAACCGTCTTCTTTGCATTCCTGGTCCAGATTCAATTTTTTGCAAGATACAAAAAGACTGGATTCACTCCTTTTACGAATACGTGAATTAGGATATCTCTACTGTCGTTTTCTTATCTTTATGCTTATTGTTGCAGTGTACAAAAGGCTGTGAAGCATGGGAACAGGCGCTCGACACAAGTTGCCAGGCTGTTTGCGTTAGTATCGCTGCCATTTTTATTTTTATGACATTTATTATCGGGGAAACTTACGTAAAGCCGCACTATGCTCGTAACGTAGTGTTCCGCATGGCCGTTTTACGTAATATTTTCCTAATTTTAGAAAGACAAACGCTTAATGTTAGTCCGATGTGTGTTCGCAGAATGGAACGCAGGAATTGTTACCGCCGAAAGAATTGTACTGCGTTTTGGGCTGCCATGACGCGTTAAATCGTTACTTCCAGCAGCTCAAAGGTAACTGTGTATCTTTCGGCTCTTTGATGTGTCTTTCATTTAAAATTATAAATCACGCGCAAATTATTCGACAGTAGTATACCTAATATATTTATATATTGTATGAGTATATAGAATTAATTTTTACTATTAGAAATCTTATCAGGGTAAAGAACATTTTTATTTGTTGCCAACGTAAGACGAGAATGCTTCAAACTTACAGTTAAATACCATTCTATGCAACCAATTATATATTTATACACGGAACACTTACGCGAAAAGAGGTAATATATATAAATTAAAAAAACGCACATTATTGATCTATGTACTTCTCGTTCTTTCCTCCTCTTTCTACGTTATTACATGCTGTTACATGTTGTTCTCATATGCTTGAAGAATATTGTTGATTAATTATTGTTATCGTAAACTAATTTAAATCCGGATTTAGGTAAAAGATACTTAAAAATATTTTCACGCACAATCAACCTTAATCTCTTATTTTTTTTATGTTGGTTTGCCAGCATTATTGCTAAAAATGCGCGAATTCCTTACCGTACTGATCAAAAGAGGAGATTTCGAGCGGGACCTCGTCGTAATGATCGAAATTGCTGGTGTCACCGCTATTACTGCAATGAGGAATGAAGCTCGGCTGCACTTTCTGATGATAAATCTCGATCCAATCGATAGATTGGAACCAGCGGTGCTTCTTGATGTCCATACTACCGTCTTTCAAATTGCCGTATCTTCTCGTCAGATCCACTTGCAAGATGTTCTTCAGTATGTCTCTCAATTCCTCGCCGAAGTGATGCGCGAACTTGTACTTGCCCGCGACAATCTTCTCGTAAATCTTCATTGGATCGTGCGCGTAGAAAGGCGGGTATCCCGCGTTCATCTCGTAGATCAGCACGCCGAAGCTCCACCAGTCGACGGCCTTGCCGTAGCCCTTGGACAGGATCACCTCCGGCGCCAGATATTCCGGGGTGCCGCACAACGTCCACGTGCGACCGTCCACCATCTTGCAGAAACCGAAATCGGTCATCCTGATGTAGCCGGAGTTCTGTATCAGGATGTTCTCCGGCTTCAGGTCCCGGTAGATCAGGCTGCAGTGATGCAGATATTCCAAGGCTAGGGCCACTTGAGCGGCGTAGAATCTCGCTAGCGACTCGTCGAACTTCCCCATACGCCTGAGATGGGTGAACATCTCGCCGCCCTGCGCAAACGGCAGCACCATGTACACGTACGAGTTATCCTTGATACGGGGATTGAAGTAGAGCATGTTTACGCGTCTGTTTTACGAGAATTTTAAATATTTGTATTAAATGTAAGGATGGATAATTTAATTTTCCATCTTTATATTTAAATTTTCCATCCTTGCAGTAAAAAAAAATAAGTTTATTCGAAAATCAGGCTATATTTGCGAGACTCGATGGATTAGCAATGTCGTTGCTATAATTCTCGACCCTTGCCTTGAAGCAGAACTCCATGAAGACCATGAAGGGAAAGTTGATGGACTGCAGGATCCGTTTTTCGTTATGCGTGTGATCCACCTGTTTCGTCTTCACCAGTTTCGCTTTATCGAGAATCTTCATGGCGTAGTACGTGGATGTCGGTTTGTGTTTAACGAGGATGACCCGGCCGAAGGCACCGGTGCCGACGGTTCGGAAACGCTCGAAGTCGTCTACCTTCGCGTTATCGTCCAATTTCGTCTTCCACTTCTCCATGAACGCCGTCTTCAGGCCGTCCAGGATCTCGTTGTATTCCTTGAACATTCGTTCTCTTTCCGTGTCGACCATTCGTGTGTTGAGCGTTCAAAACGTGTTTAACGCTTAACCTCCGAATTGGAGGGTTAAAATGATATGATATGACAGGGCATACTGTTTCAATTGCTCTAAGTGACGATATGATCGTATGTTGTTTTTTATAGTGCCATTGCATTAGATCGTTGCGTTGCTTCTATAATTATTTCGAGTATCTAGACCAAAAATTAAACTCTTTTCTATAATTATTTTCACACACATGTGTATGTATGTACAAATGTATCACAGACACACGCACATGTTATCTGTAAATATAAATAAAATTAATAATTTGTTTGCATCTGAATTACTGCATAGTCTTTTCTATACCAAAGGAAAATCTTTCTTTATAATGAACAGAGGAAATCGGCACCCCACCGGCGCCGGCGTTAGTCGCGGACTCGTTGACGGCGACGTCGCTCAGCCTCGAATGGAAAGGTGTAAACAGACGCGCTGGCATTTCATACTTGGTGCAATGGAGGTACGAGGAATTAGCCGAGACGTGGCAGTATTGCCGGAAACAGTCGTGGGACGAAGGTGATCAGATATTGGTCAAGCACCTGCAGCCGTACACCAAATACAGGGTATGTAGAAGTCGGTTAAAAAACGAAAAGAGAGTCAGGTAGAACTATACTTCACGAACTAGAAGAGCGGTAACTGAACAAGGAAACGAAGAATCCACAAACAGGATTAATTTTTTTTTATTCTATTCACTCGTAACAGTGAAATGAATTATTTATATATTAACGAAACATATAAAATGCCCATTACCTCCGATAGATTCCGCCAACGCCCGTTAATCTAGGCTCGATGTAGACTTTAGGTGGCATGCTCTTAAATTGTTGAACTGTTTTCTCTCCTTGCGGGGAGAATAAAGTACTTCTCTCATGAACGAACGCTGGCGTTTGCAGTTTCGCGTAGCGCTGCTTCTGAAATCGTCGCAGCACAATCCAGAACCGATCGTCTCAGCGCCGAGCGTGGTAATATTAACGTACGCGGACGGTCTACCGACATCAGCACCGGTAATTGTAGGAGCGGCGACGGTAGACAGCTACCGCGTCTCTGTGTCTTGGAAACCGGGCCCATTCACAAACGGCCCACTTTTGTCCTATGTCCTGCGTCTGCGAGGGGCTAAACAGTCCCAGCTTAAGGTACACGCCACGCCAGATTATATATAGTTTAGAGACACGTTTATCCTACGGCAGAACTACATTTTCTGGCATACGCACAGATCTGTGTCTTTCGCATATTTCCGTGCGTACAAGCATTTTTTCTTTTCTTTCAACTATGCACTCTTATAATCGACTCTTATAACATTTTCGCGCGCTCGCAAAGCGCGTCGGCGTCGTCACGCTTTGCTGTATTATCTAACTGTTGTTTGCAGAAGAGCGGTGTGCAACTGGTTCTGCAAGGTAGACTCCGTTATCCCGTTTAAAGAGAATTTATTGGCCACGTTAATTGATTTTTACGTCGTAAACTGCGATGTAAACGAGTTGCCTGCTGCTGCAGCATTAAAAATATTTAATTAACATTTTTTCATTAACTTCACGATATTAACTCCTGTTCAAGTATTCAACATGTTAAGACTTGAAGCCAATGAATTTTCTTTCCCATCTTTTCGCTTTTCGTGTTGCATACTAATATCAATTTGCAGAGAATGCACGTTTTGGAGCATCAATGCCATTCAATGCGCACGCATTCAAACGCATGATAAAATTTTTTAATATTTAGGAAATCTATTTTTTTCCATTTACATAGATAGCATAATTCAACTTTATTTTGCGGAAGAACAGAAAGAATCGGTGAATTATATATCATGGAATTTTTATGTGTGAATACGAGCGCACCGGTATTAATTTTGGCATTAAATTTTGATTGTATGTATCTATTGCTTTTATGATAATTACCTATCGCATCCTCATTAATGTGCTATCCTCTAACATAGTCAGACTTGCATGAATCAGAGTATCTGCGAAAATTTCTGACATGGCGTTCTTTTATTTTCCCAACTGCATATCTACTTCCTAGCAAGAGTTTCGAAGAGGTGGGTTTTTAGTTTTTACTGCCCGTATAATATACGTTGTATTTTATTGACAGGATATTCCAGTATCCGAGAATACCGGTCACTATATGTTTCAAAACCTCCAACCTGATCAAGATTATTCTATCACCGTGACTATGAGAAATGGTGTCGGCGAGGGTCCGCCAACAATTATCCATATTTCTACCTATCCCGAAGAAGCTACCGGTACGTTGCAAGAAAATGAATACATGTTTAACATTAACAGAAAGAATCTATCGTATATAAAACGATAATGATAATTTTCCACAAAGAAATGCTTTTTATATGTTTTTTAACGCATATTTTCACATCGTCTGTTTTAAATATTGAAAGCACTGGCTATCGATTTTCAAACTTTATAATTTACGTCCATGACATGAAAATTTATGTTTCGAAGTTGCTAATAAGACGAATTTTAGTCAAGGACACTCAACAACCGATTCTCATCCTCGGTGGTGAGCACGTGGTGATGAGACAGGGCGCCGATATGTTGGACGAACCCAGTGTCATTTACGAGACCGAGAGTGTGATCCGCGGGGTTGCGATACACGTGGCGTCCGCACAGTTATTCGTTTCCACGTCGACGGGTTACGTGTACCGAACCTCGATCATCGAGCGATCCACACCGAAAGTCATTTTAAGCCCCGGCGGAGTGAACTTCAAACCTCTGAGCCTTTCCGTCGACTGGCTGAATCTTCACCTGTACGTCTTAGGCGAAGTAAAACACGCGACGACCGTGTGGCAGATAGCCAGATGCAATCTCGATGGTAAAAGTTTGACAGTGGCCATGGCTGGACTTTTAACGCGACCCTCGCATATCGAAGTCGATCCTTACAACGGGTACCTCTTCTGGGTCACTAAAGTGGGATTGTTCAGACTAGACTTGGCCGATATCAGCAACGGTGTGAAACACGAGGTACCGATTATTTCTATTTGCAATTATATATGTTATCAAAGCTTTTACTTTTTCTAGTTGTATTAAAAGACGTGAAATTTTTGTATATTTAAGAATAATTAATTATTTTAATATACTCTTGACTTAACGTAGATCTTTTTCACTTTTCTTAAAGAAAATAATTTTGAAGATTATTTATCGTGACATTGATGTATTAGAATATTAATTATTTGTCTAAATATTTTCGATGGTATTTTCTTTTTTCTAGGTTCAACCATATTTAATTCTCGAAGATGATCACTTGGGTGCTTTTACAGTAGACCATACGAACTTTCGATTACTCGTGCCTGATCACACTAAAAACACGATGATATCCGTATCATTGGATGGTCGCGAAGTTGTTAATCTTCGCCCCAATACGCAGAAGCCGAAATTCAATAATGTTGTTTCCCTGGCTATGGCAAATGGACTGTTCTATTGGACTAATGGCGAAGAGGTCCTTACCGAAGGCTATCATGCTGGCCAAAACAGATATTTCCACAATTCTTATCCTGACAAGTAATATATTTGTTTCTACAATATTTCTTAAAAGATTTTCCTAAAAGACTTTATCTGAAAATTTTACATTAAATTGAGACGTTAATTGTGCTCAATAGAATCTACATTAATGGAACACAAATATTCTTTTCTTCAGATCCGATACCTCCTTTGTAAGCGTGACCGTATTGATGAATGCAAGTCAGCCGGTTCCCGTCCCAGTGAATCCACCCACAGGTGTGCAAGCTGTTCTCGGGGCGGAAAGGGCAAAGGTTTCCTGGCAAGCTCCTCATTTACTGGGCGGCCAAGGAAAAGGCGCCTGGCAAAACTGGTCATACGAGCTCGAAATCAAGGACGAATCTACCGGCGAAACTATCCATCAGAAAGGTATCGCCGGATCATCTCACACTGTTCATAATTTGCGAGAAAGATCGGAATATTCGATCAAAGCCGCGGCTTATACGAGCGCTGGCAGAGGACCGTGGTCTACGGAGTTCCGAGGGCGAACTTTAAGGTAACATTAAATAGTAAATTCGATACATTACTTAAGTTTACTTGATTTTGGATACTTTTAAATATTTTTGAAAAATTATATCTAGATGCAACGTTCAATTACTTCATTTTTTCAAATTAAAACTTTATATATATGAAGTGTCTATTCACTTTGCCGTCAATTATATTAATTAAATAAAATTTTGCATTTAGAAATGGATCACACGCATCTATCTTGTGGTCGTCGAACGAAGGAATTTTGAGAAGCGACGTAACAGGCGAAAATATCGACACGCTCGTTAACAAGGCGACTCTGAAAGATTCCGAGAATGAATTTTACATTGTCGACGTTAGCTGGTACAAGGACGTGCTGTATATAGTGGGAAATAATTCCGCGCTGTATCGTTATAACGTCAGCAATCATCAGAAGACGAAGCTCAACATACATTCGGTGGGAAGCGTCGCCGTGGATTGGATATCAAAAAAGTTATATTGGGCAAATCCAAAACAGCAGATTGTAAATATATATACATATAATTAGATTTTTGTTTTTAACTCAAGTGCATTTAGTCTCTTTAATTCAAAATGAATTAACTATTAAATTAAATTTTTTTACATTTTTTGATAGTTTTATCTAACAGAATAATTATTACATTTAAGATTTTATGATCGTCATTTAAATCTTCGGCTATAAAATTTTCATATTTTTTAAATATTTTATACACAGTGTATTATTTCCGGTACAGATAACGAGAGCAAACTTGAATGGATCTCAGCAAGAGCCGATGTCTATCTTAGCAATTGTAAAAGAGCTCATGATCGATTCTCTCGAAGCGTACTTGTATTGGTCCACTGGTCACGCCGTGGAAGTCGCGCGATTGAATGGACAAGACAGAAGATATTATCATTTAGACGAAATTTTCAATGGCAAGCAAGTGATGGGATTAACTCTCGACACCGAAAATAGATACGTCTATTGGATTGTTCGAAGCTACGAAAGCGGATCTATCGTCTATCGTGCGCCTACGTCCGAGAGAATTCCAATGAGTCACAAAATCATTCCAGAGAAGGTTGTTTCATACGTTTAATTAATTTTTATGAGTATCATTATTTTTAACAAATGATAAAATTATAGATCTTGTCATGGTTTTTAATCATATTCAATGAGATATACAATAAAATAATAATGAAACATGTAAATAAAATAAATAATTAAAAACGAAAATAATGATGTAAATAATAAAATTTAAGGTTTCTACTTTGCAACATCCAAATATACAAGGACCTCTGTGCTATTTTTCCGAGCACCTGCTGTGGCTGCAGGACGACAGAAACGCGGTGATCGGAGATCTCTCCGGTCAGAACACCGCCGTGATAAATGGAATCACTTTATCCGGATTGTACATGGTGGCTGTTATGGATCCTGCGCTTCATCAGTATCCGAAGAATCTGACGTCGGAAACCGTGATGGTTCTACCGAATGCGGTTGATCTCGATAGCATAAGAGTCGAGGGGTCCTGGAGGAACTTCAACATATCGTGGGATCCTGTGAAGAACATCAACTACGGCACGGTCTTCTACGAAGTGAAATTCGCGGATTATATTAATACGAATTCAAACCCGGAAATTACAATTGAAACGACGATGCCCTACAACAACTCGGATCAGATTCTGCCATATTCCGTCTTGGAAGTTACTGTGAAGGCATTTACTTACTGGGAAACGGCGCATCATTCTCGGAAGATCCTGAGATCTCCACAGAGTGTGCCGAGCCAGCCAACATCCCCTAGAGCATTCGTGGAGTTTTACAAGAAAGTTCTGAGCAAAGATGTTGACATTTTTACGATATTTAGGTGAAAAATTTAAAACTTTGCCTGCATACTCTCATTTAGATTTGTATAATATATGTACATTACTTGTACATACATGTATATACAAGATCTAACTTTGTTATAGATTCGCGGGAAATAAAAACGCTAAAATATCTTATTTTCTTCACAGATGGAATCAACCCGAGTTTACAAACGGAGTAATACGAAAATACACGGTCCAGTGTTGGTTTATCGAGAACCGGAAGAAGGTATCAATCTGCGACGACTACGACATCCCGGCTATGGTACTGGAATTTACAGCGCACAATCTAAAACCCAACACGACCTATTACTTCAAAGTACGAGCGTGCACTGAGATCGGTGCTGGTCCTTACACGGATCCAATCAGCGTGTCAACTGCGCACGAGAATCCGGTGCCTGAATTACTGGTCGCTACGGCGGATGCTGTGAGGATATCGGATCTGGACAAAGAAATCAATAACACACTTACCAGGCACACCGCGACAGAGGTCAATTACTTGATGGCGGAGAATAAGATTTACTGGATCAGCGAGATGCGGGAACTGGTGACGTCGGAAATAAATGGAGCCAACGCGACGAGAATACTTGCTCTAAACAATACCGCGCATAGCCTTTGCATCGACTGGGTAGCGAGAAATCTGTACTGGGTGGAGCATGAATATAGTAAAGACGAGCCGTGGAAAATCAGCAGCAGCTATATCATGAGATTGGATTTAACAATGTGGCAGGCAGGCATAGTTAAGCACAAAAATATCTTAAGGAGAAGAGGCCGTATCCCGATTTTAGATATGCTGCCGTCTCTAGGGTACCTACATCAATTTTTATCCGTTTAAAATATTTCTTTTATAATCGTAGTCACAGTTTTAATCATTCAATATACTAACTGTTATAATCAAGATGACACGGAATAACAAATCAGCATGAAATTGTAAAGAAAAAAAATATATGCATATAGTTTTTATTATATTTGTTTTAAAATAATCAAAGAAATGTAAATATTTTTTTTTCCAGATCTTTATATTGGATTGAGACGAATGAGGGAGGTACGATAATGCAGTCGGATCTCGAAGGGAAAAACGTGCAATACTTCTTCGGAAACAATGGTAGCACATGTACTTGTCCACAAAGACCACCACTAATATCCACCCTGACAATCGACAAAACCAATATCCAGGAACCGATGATGTATTGGGTATCATCGGACGGGCACTTAAACGTGGCTGATATTTACGGTTGCGCGTGCAACATGGTATTAAAGACGAGCTTCAAAGCAGCGACTCTCACGTTTCTCACGGTTGACAAAATGAACATTTACTGGTCCAACGAAACGAAGGACCAAATCTATTTTTTGAAAAAGAATTTCTTCGTGGCAAACAAGGAAAACACGTCCAAGCCGGAGGTAAGAAGCCTCTACCTGCCTAACGTACGTCGGATCAGAGCCCTCGGCAAATCTCTGCAACCCTATCCCACCGCGAAGTGCCTGATACCTCGCCAAATGAACTACAATGTCGAGAGAGTGAGCGAAACGGTGAACAGCATCGTCGTCAATCTTCCCGAGCCGAGTTCTGAACGCGGATGTCAAAATTACAGTCTACCCACCACGCTGTACACCATCCATGTATCCCACTGTTCGAAGAACGCTCCCGGCAAGTGCGAGGAGATGAGAGTGCAGACACGTGAGAGATGTCACGAGATCCGGGATTTAAAGCCATTCACGGAATACAAGCTGAAGCTGGCACTGAGCAATTTCTATACCGACCTGTTGTCGATGAGGCCGGAATTCGGCGCGGATGTAGTGCTGAAGACCAGCGCGGGGAACCCCAGCATGCCGGAGAACGTTACGGTTCAGGCCCTGACGCCGACATTAGCAGCGGTCTACTGGATGCCACCCAAGATACTGAACTCCGCCGTGGTGCATTACGAGGTGCATTGGAGTTTGACTTCCTTGCAGAACGAGCGGCAGAAAGCCTGGTCAGAACTGGTCAAAAACCCTGAGCGTGCGGCAGACGGCAGATTTTTCACTACGCTGCAGCAGTTGCTGCCGGGGCAGGATTACCGGGTGTACGTACGCGTGTATCCCGCTAATTACAGCGACTTCTACAACGAGAGCCTCAGCCAGGTCATCCGCATGTACTCGGAGCCGAACAATTTGACGGTGGCCGATGTCAGCGTGAACAGCATGAACATCTCTTGGACCCTGAGCGTCAATCTGACGGTCGGTTACGTATTGGAGTACAAGGACGTTGCAGTGAAGGAGTGGCAAATCGCGCGACACGTTGAGGTGAACAAGGACCAAGTGATGTATCACATAGAAGATTTGCAGCCGCGCACCTTGTACAAGTTCCGCTTGAAGCTGAAATACCCCACGTATAAGAAGGACATTGTATGGCCGGACGATGGGAGGTTTACATTTCAAACGCTCGGTAAGGCATTATTCATATCACAAACGTAAAAGCATGTAATACTAAATTTAAATATATATATATATATATATATATATATATATATATATATATATAT